ATTCCATCATTTTCCTTGCAATGAAAAATCGACGAGAGCACTACACACTACCTCACTCAATGGCTGCTTGCCAACAACTGACGCAATCAACAAGCGGGAAAAAATTCACGCATGCGCACGAAGGTTCAAGGTCGGCTCATGCAAGCGCGCTTGATTCAAATCCATTAGGTTATCGCAAAAAAAAATAAGGTCGGATACTTTTCTCACAGGCCTCGTATTTGGCTATGTTAAATATTACATTTTGGAAAAAAACTTGCAGAAGGAAAATGTCTTAGAAAATTTCAAGTATTTTAAGTGTGCCTAATGTCAAGCAAGTTAACCTATATTTTATTTTTATTCATTGTTCATGTGACATACACAAGATGGCACTAATAACCTAACTTGCATGATCAAAGAAGGTGAGCAGTGCAGTCATTGGTTATATGGATATTCTCAAATGCTTTATACGTGGATTCAGTAGGTACTTTATAAACTATTAATTGGGGCCACAAATGGTGAAATTGTGTTACTGAGGGTGTTATTAAGTTATTTACTCAACTTTTGTCTAAAATATTTTCCACTCTCTGTAAATAGTCATAATCAGTGGTTTAATTTTGGCAAAAATTTTGTTATATTGGTTTTATATTTGCCATATTATTTGGCAAAGTAATAAGTAGGGTCGACTAGTCTTCACATAGTGTTACGTAGGAATGGTACTACTTGCACATATTTAATGCATAATAAGTATTGCATCATCCATCCCACTAATGGTGGCTATCAGCTTCTTAATATAGTAGTGTTCTTCATGGTATAAGTTGAAGCCTTGATAAGAGTAATAGAGATAGTCATTATTTAGTTAAAATAAACAACATGCTTGCTTGTTATATTGCAACTGTATGCCATAGATGGTTATGGTACCCACAGTGAACAGGGCACACAATCCAAACTGTAATATGTACAAGTAACTATTGGAATTGCATTACAACTGGCTTATATATAACTACTATGATAAAATGACAAATGTATATTAACCATTGTGGTTGATTGATATTAAGATGCATCTGCCACATGATTAATACTTTTTTATCTCAGTGCTACCACAACAATAGCAAAGTAACTTAACTTAAATACTGTATTAGATTGAAGCGACAGATTATGCCTGCAGCACATTTACAATATGTATGGCAACATCTACTATCTGATGTGAAAATGTCCAAATCCAAACAAATATAAGGAGTTGGATTTCTCTTATGGTACATAACTTCTGCTCACATCTAGCTTTTCTGATTCAGTGCTGCTCTCTATATGCAAACTTTTTTATTCGTTACTATCCTTGTGAGGCTTCCACCTAATCTCATATGTTTCCATGTAATATTGCTGCATTTTTGCATGCGACAACAATAGGAGTGTGACACTGCCTCCTATCACAGCTGGCTCCCTCTATACTAATTGTTCATTCACCATTTCTCTGTTTGGCTCACATCTGTTAAGATAGGCATTTTTTCTCTGGTGTGAGATTTCTCAACATCATTGTTTGGTTGAAGTATCTGCAAAACCAACTGTTGTGGAAATATTTTTTGTGTTTATTTTCAAACAGTTCTGCTTTTGACTCTTATTTTCCACAATGTGAATTACATAGAGACAGTTTCTTCCTTGTTGATTAGTTTTGAACATCTGGACTTTTTTCACTACAAGACAACTACAATGGCATCGGGTGCTTCTTTGTTTGTCAGGGACATGACTGCTGTTGTCTTTTGGTATGTTTTTTACTCACTGAAGAATTTATGCAACTTCATCAAAGTAACACAAACCTTATATAAGCAATGTCATTTGGGCCACCATGCTCATAGTTTTAAGTATTGTTACCTGTCTTCTCAGAGTAGAGACATTTATGTTGCTTTCAAAAGGAAATAATAAAACAGAAATCCAATATCAGCAACAAGCAAAATGTCTCAAGAAACAATAAAATACTTGCAGTTTTCTAATTACACAAGAAGTATTTTTAGAAGCAATGTATTTAACCTTCAAGTAAGGCTTTACTAGATCACCCTTTGAAAACTAAATGTTGAAACTTCTGTTATGATTGATTAGCAAGTGTAAATGTTTGTGAAGTTTAACTCCCCCACTGGGGATGATGACCAGCTTTTCATTTGCACTCCTCCATACCAAGTTTTGATTCATCCAGGCCAGGTGATTTTTTTGCACCCTGACTTAATCTGAAACTATAAACAGGATAAAAGATGTAATCTACAACAATCTTAGACTTTCAAATGAAATCTAAGACACCACTTAAGGTTGCACAAGAAAAGTACTGAGTCTTAAGCATCTACACAATTTATGGTGTATGTGATACAACTAACTACACTGATTTAATCACACTTTATTGAACTATTTTATTTGTTGACTATGCTCATAAGCAGATCTTAAAGAATCCTGGACACCTGGTTGCCATAGCACTTCAAAAAAAGTGGTCTTTTGTCTTGGGATTTTTTTGCATAATGTTTATTTAAAAAGGTGTGCTTTTTTATATATATGGTAATCTTTCTGTTGTAAATAAACATTTCAAAAAAGATTGGTACAGCTCTTGAATTTCTAGTAAGTATTCAAATACTATAAAGGAAATCCAAATTAATAAACTTTTGCAACATTTTTTTATGATGTTTGATTGCAAGCTAATAAACAAGTGTATGAGCATGTAAATTTTTGGTCGCCAAGACTGCAGATATGGTGGGTGCTGAAAGCTTATATAATTTAACATGGCTCAGCAAAGATGGTATGGTAATTTCACTTTCAAAGTATTATAAGTATTAAATTGATTAAAAAGCAGTGTGTATGTATGTATGTGTGTGTGTGTGTATATATATATATATATATATATATATATGTATGTATTATATTACTGCGTGTACCGTACACTCCGTCCGTTCGGCCGTACAGCAGCTCTAACTTTTGTACTAAAATTATTTTCCACTTCTGT